TGTCTTCACTATCATCATCTATAATTTCCTTACGTTTCTTCAATGTATTATTATCATCTAATGTTTTGGAACTTGATATGGAATTATCAGAGATGTTTATTTCGTGATTTGATTTATTTTCTGCTTTTATCAAAGTTTCAGTTTCATTATTATCTGGTTCTTGCTCTTCTTTTTTATCAACAATCTCGATTGTATTTGATGATGAACTATCCTTATTCTCCATATTAATATGGATCTTATGTTTCCTTGCTGAGCAATTGTCACATGTCTCTTCACATTCTGATGTATCAAAAATTTCTCCAAAATATTCCAGAAACTGTTTCCTGCGGCAATCTATAGTATTTTCGCAATAATTTCTCATTGAAAGGAGACCTGTTCTTTTTTGTTCTTTTTGAATACCATCTTCTGCTTCTATCATTGCTTTTACTAACTTGTAGTCATTAACTGCATATAAAAGAACACATACAGCATGGTCTCCATCCCTACCAGCTCTTCCCGTCTCCTGATAATATTCCTCTAGAGATCGGGGCAATGAATAATGTATTACGAATCGCACGTCAGGCTTATCAATCCCTTTTATATGCAAAAAAAATTAATATTAATATTAATAAAAATTAATTCTTACAATATTAATTTATATGTGTGTGTGTCATAAAATTTTAAAAAATCCATATATAATTTTACCCATTCCAAAGGCAGTAGTCCCAGCAATAATTTGCAGCCTTCCAAATTGCCATTCATTTTGAATAATGATTTTTTCTGCTTTTTCTACACCTGAATGATAATATTTTGCAGAAATTTCTGATTTTTGGAGATATTGTACAACTTTCTCACAATCTTTTTTGGTAATGCAATAAATAATACCTGATTTACCCTTATAACTCTCAACAAGTTTAACAAGATATTCCAATGCCTTATCACCACTACTGTCTTTCTCATGTACTTCATAGTATAAATTTTTTCTATTGAATCCTTGTTGTATGACCTTACATCTTTGAATACCCAAGATATTAATTATTTCATTTTTGACTTTAGGTGTTGCGGTTGCAGTTAAAGCAATTATAGGTATTTCTGGGTAATTTTTTTTCAAGTTGCATAATTCTTTGTAATCTGGTCGGAAGTCATGTCCCCATTTGCTAATACAATGAGCCTCATCAATGGCAAATCTTGCCAATTGTTTCTTTTCATACAGGCCTCTTATTATTGAAATGATTTTTCTATTTCTATTTAACATCTCAGGAGTTAAGTAGAAAAGCTTGTGACTTGGTTTTAGTTTATTAAGTTCAGCATATACATTTTGTTTTTCATTATCTTCTTGTTCATTATATAAAGATAAAGCTGGAATATTATATCTGCTATTTAAATTATGTATCTGATCTATGATAAGTGATAGCAGGGGTGATATCACCACTGTTATCCCTTTTGTTTTTCCATTTTCCACGATTGCAGGCAGCTGGTAACAGAGGCTCTTACCACTGCCTGTTGGCATTAATACCAAAACATCCTCACCGTTTAACGTTTCTTCAATCACCTTTAATTGATCTTTGTGAAATTTTTCAAGATGAAATTTCTTGTGTAATATTTCCTCTAATCTCGAATTTGATGACAATGATGAAGAGAAGAAGGAGGTAATTCGTTTGTCACTAAGTAAATGCAAATAGTGCATTGAAAAAATCAAAGTTAAACAACTGACTAGGCCAATCTTATATAGAAACTAGAGTGACAACAAGTGGCGGGCGATAACCGCCACCACCATCCTTAAACACATATCCAAGTCTCGTTGCCTCTACAGAATTATTTAATTGTTTTCTTTTATTGTTTTTCGATGACATCTTACAATAAAGTAAAAGAAAAAAAGTTGTTTTGATCGACGTGTAACACATCAATTATTTATCCTATTGGTTTTTTTTTTTGGGAGGACAGACGCGAATGATTTTTTTTTTCTTCCTTGGAAAAACAATTTATTTTTTGACAGAGTCCAAGGTGACAAAACGTGAGTGTTGTTGTTTGGTTTGGTTTGGTTTGGGTCTTCTAAAGAAAACGTGTTAATAATTAACCAGAGATACTTTTTTTTATTTTTATTTTAGTTTATAAATATTTTAATTGGAAATTAAAACGCGGAGCAGATCTTGCTGGGTAATTACAAGATTTTCATTGATAATATTTTGCTTTTCGTAATCGTTAATAATAATATAATTATATTATTATAATTACAAGATGTCAAGGAAGCGCACCATTGAAAAAGAGACAATTCAAATATGCAATGTTTGATTACAGGAAAATAGCAGGCACGCTACCTTGAACTTGAAAGTAGAGCAATGATGTATGATGAAACTTTCGACTTTAATCATTGACGTAACTAAAGTATTGACTAAAGATAGTTTTTAAAAACGTGTGTCCGGGGATGAATAAAGAATTATTATATCATTGTATGTATATTGCAATGATGCAAGGAGAATAATTATCACGGGGAAGTTTACAAATGTTGTAAATTGAATTAGAAATTTTACTTTCGTATATTTTTTTCGAATAAAAATGACTTCTTTTTTACAAATTAAAACATTCTTTTATTATTACATTTCATAAAATGCAAAAAATCAAACTGTCTTTGCATATATATGAATTGTGTTAGATTGATGTTTTTCGAATTTTTGGCTTTGAAGTTAACTACGCTTAATAGTAATACGCAATAATATTAATAATGTGCTTTAGTGCCCGAGTTTGAAGCAACATAGGTTGATAAATATTGGTACCTTTACATAGCACATAAGACAAATTTTGTTGTGAGTTTTAATTTGTTTTCTTTTTTTATCACTTTCAAATCTTCAAAGAATTTCTTTATTGCTGTATCACGATAAATCGACTACTAGAGTTTGGTGATGATGAAGTTGTTCTTTAAATAATGCAATTTTCGTTTAATCCTGTTAGAGAAAATCAAAAAAATGTTGTGCGAAAAATTTGTTTGTTACACGTCATTCAAGAAAAAGGAAATGATTGAATGAATTAGAGGTTCCTATTTTTCATATTAATATTAATATTCGATAAACCAGATATAATAAAACCAGTTTATTTCGGACAACCGGTTTTATTATTATTATTATTATTATTATTATTATGCATACAATCACTATGCTAAAATCATAAATCATTTATCAAATTCTCCGTCACCATTTTCAAAACAAAAAAAAAAGAATATATATGTATATTTTTTGAATTATATATATTATTAATGTACATATAATTTATATATGAATGTATATTGTGAGATCGTGTCCAAGCTTCAATGATGATTATTTATTTATTTGATGTTTATGCTAATAAATAATACAATTTCTTCCAATTTGTAATAACAATTTCTGCGAATATATATTTATGCTTTACTCCCAAACTATCTTTCACCGTCATTAAACGATTCGTTGCTAAGCAATACTAAACAATATCCTTAGATTTCACACTATGTCCTGATCACGTTTATTGGTGGATGCCCCTCTCGCACTATTACTCCCTACTCGTCTCAGGTACATTTCCCAACCTTCACTAAATAAAATTTACCTACTAAAAGAAAAGAAAAGAAATAAAAAATAATAATAAAATAGAGACAATTATAAAATAAGAGAAAATTAATTATGCACGGAAAATATAAAATCGAAGACCGGGTCAAGAACAAGACAAGGTTAAGGTTAAGGACAGTCGGTTATTTATTATGAATTAACTATTCATTAACTATTGATTTTCTATTTTTTTTAGTTTAGAATATTACTATGTTATTTATACATGTTATCATCTAGCTCCCCATTTCTAAAAACTCTTAATTAAAGTATTCCTTAAAAATAAACAAACCTTTCTTTTGGAAATAATTAAAGAAACGTTACTTTTTTGATAATTTCCGCGAGTTAATTATTTTATTAGCTTATTGCACTTTATCAAATTGGACTGATTTGAATCTTTGAAATGTTCGTAAATCGTTCGTGATCCTTAATTGCTATTACTATTACTATTACTATTACTATTTTCACAATCGAAAGATGATACATTTATTTAATGTTTACACTAATACAATAATATAATTTAGCAAGGAATTGTTTAATGACAGTGAAAGATAATTTTGAGAGTAAAGCATAAATATATTAATATATTCGCGGAAATTGTGATTGCGATTGTTTATCAATGGTCCCAAAGGAAGAGTTTGCAGAATTACACGAATTCTTTCAAGCTCTTTCTCAACTTGTACAAGACAACCTTTTAATGGCTCAGATCATGGTAATGGATGATGATTAGGTAGTAAATATGAACAGACTTCTCAAAAAGAAAGCTTGCGTCAATAAAAGAACTGAAATCACAATATTTTAATGTGCCAAAAATTTGCAGAGCTTGCTTTGAAAATATCAGAGCCATCTGATAAATAATCAAGTGTTCATGGTAATATTAAAGAATGTCTTCTGCACATTATCTATTCTACTGGTGTTAGGAATTGCTATTTGTTAACTTGTTAGAATTGTTTATAAACTATATTGGGTTGTGAAAATATTCAAGCCACAAACTTGTTAATGGTCCGCCGATCAACGAGATCACGAATTAAACTAAAATCACCTGATTTCTGTCAGTGCCCTAAGGACTTGATTTTTCCATAAATCAATACATAATCGTTTACAAAATTTGCATTTTAAATTTAATTCTTGAAGGTGCTCTGGAATAACTATATGGGTCTTTGTAATATTGAAGACAATCCAATTTTTCATAATTCTTTCTTGAGTTGATATCTTGCTTGCTGCCTGACAAAAATTATTGAATCTCTCCTCTATGAAAGAATTCGAACATTACTTTTATCAATAAAAACTAACATTACTAATAGTATTAACAACTAATATTAATCTAAATAGATCAGAGATTCCTTTAATGATTCATATCCATTATAAAAAAATAAAAATAAAAAAGTAATATTGCATTCAGAATTGATTCGCAGAAATTTGTAAGTAAAATATGTTTGAAGTGTCGCATCCAAGACACCTTGTGCATTCGACTTTTTCTTCTATTTCTTCAAATTCATGAGTAACTATCTTGTTTAGTTCAACCTTCTGGATATCATGGTTCTTGATCTTATAACTGGAGAAAAAAAACCGTGTTCATTATGAGTCAATTTTTTATTCAAATCATGGAAAAGCCCACACGAAGAAGCTTGTATAGTGATAAAGCCTGGCGTGGACCATAATGGTCAGTGGGCTTCAGAAGATCTTGTTGAACAAGTAATATAGTTGAACCTATTTAAAATTAATTAATTTGAATGTTGTAAAAAACTTATTTTAAAAAATCATATCTATAGATTCAAAATAAAGCCATACCTACGTTTCCCAGGTGCAATTAGATCTGTGCATTTTGATAACGCAGCCAGCAAGCAATTTATGTTTGCTGGTGATGATTTAATGACTGCTCAAATGAACCTCAGACTTGGTGGTTGTAATAAATACACCTTTAAATATGGTATTTTACCTAGTGGAAAGCCTCAAAAAATGCACCTAGAAGATGAAAGGCAGAAAGGAATTGAGAAGATTATGGAGAATGTAACCTTTGGTCAATTGATAAAAGGCTTATTCGCCTATGTAAGGATTGTCAAAAGCATTCTTTGACAAGAGAAGATTGTTGTGCTGTTCGAATTCTTTCTTTGCAACCTGATTTTGCTCTCAGTTTCCTTTGATATAAGAGATTATTGAAGACCATGGATGTAAAGTAATTTTTTTCCCTAAACTTCATTGTGAGTTCAATTTTATTGAATATTTTGGGGAGTAGCAAAAAAATACACAAGCTTGTGATAATTCTTTAAAGGTTTAGAAAAAAACTAAAATCTTAGTTTTAAGTTTCAAATGTTCAGAATATAACATCTTGTATTAGTGAGGGTAAATATAATGTACAGTTGATAAAACTTGTTTATTTCAATGAGATAAACTCATAATAAATGAAAGTACTTAGATAAAGGC